TCCCGAGAGTAGCGTGTTGAAGTCTCGTACTATTATTCTGGAACTGTCTATTTCTTTTCACAGTGATCTTAGAGTTTGTATTTTGAAGCCCTATCATTGGGTCCGTATATATTTAATAAGGTTATTTCTTCTTGGTGGTCTGTCCCTTTAATCATGATATAAAGTCCTTCCTTGTCTTTTATGGTAGATTTTTCCTTAAAGTTTATTTTACCTGAGATTAGAATTGCCACTCCTCCCCTTTTTTGTTTATTGTTGGCTTGATATATTTTTTCCATTCTTTGATTCAGAATATGTTTATGTCTTTGTGTCTAAGGTGTGTCTCTTGTAGACAGCATATTGATGGGTTGTGGTTTTTTATCCATTCTGCCACTCTCTGTCTCTTTACATTTAAGTCATTTACATTCAGTGTGATTATCGATAGTTATGAGTTTATTGCTATCATATTGTTGTGCCTTTTTTTGTGGTGCTGACATTTTCTTTGTTCCTCTTACTTTCCTGTGCTGAATTCCTTTTGTTTGTGAATTTTGTTTTCTTTCCTTCCATTATTCTAGATTTTGTGTTTACTAACGCTTTATGTTTTTCTTCTTTTTTATTTTGATGAGTAGGTTTGTTAACTTTCTTTGTGGTTACCTTGAAATTTGCCCTTGACTTCCTAAGTTTGAACCAGTCTTTTATTACTTGGAATCACCTTGACTTCTTCTCCATTTGAAAGTTCTGTACCTACACTGTTTGTTCCCCCTTTTATTGTTTTCATATTGTTGTCATTTACAGATTGACATCTCTGTTTCCCTGTTTTAAGTCTTTTAGCTTTGTTTTATTATTGAGAGGTAAAGAACTCTCAGTAATAAAGGTTGGTTTCTGGCTGATGCTGTCCTGTGTCCTAGACTCTGGTTCCTGTCTTATGTTGTCAGTTCTTTAACCAAAGGACTCCCTTTAATATTTCTTGTAATTTTGGTTTAGTTTTTATGAATTCCCTCAGTTTCTGTTTATCTGTAAATGCCCTAATGTCACCATCATATCTGAGAGAGAGTTTTTCAGGATATATTATTCTTGGTTGGCAGTTTTATCTTTCAAGGTTTTATATATGTCATCCCATTGCCTTCTTGCCTGAATAGTTTCTGCCAAGTAATCAGAGCTTAGTCTTATTGTTTCTCCTTTGTGAGTGACTTTTTCCCCCCCTCGAGCTGCTCTCAGGATTCTTTCCTTGTCTTTGGTTTTTGCAAGTGTGATTATGATATGTCTTGGTGACTTTCTTTTGGGGACTATCCTTTTATGTGGTTCATTGAGCATCTTGGATGGTCAGCTTTTCATCTTTCATGATATTTGGGAAGTTTTCTGCCAGCAAATCTTCAACAATCTTCTCTGTGTTTTCCATTTTCTTCCCGTTTTCAAATTCCGATCATGTGCAAATTTTTGCTCTTGTGTCCCACATAATTGTTAGGTTTTCTTCATTGTTTTCTCTTATTTTTCCTCAAACAAAGTGGTGTCCATGGATTTGTCTTCAATCTCACTGAGTTTGTCTTCTACTGTTTCAAATTTGCTCTAAAATCTTCTATTGAGTTGTCCCTTTCCGAAATTTTGTTGTTTATCTTTTGGATTTCTACTTGCTGTTTTTGTATGATTCCTAATTGTTTATTTATTTTGATATTTTGCTCTTGTATTATTTTCTTGAATTCTTCTAATGGTTTGTGTAAGTGTCCTTGATTTTGGCTATTTTTTTGTTGGTTTTGTCTGTGTTTTCCATGATTTTTGTCTATTTTTTCCTTGATTGTTTCTGAGTTTTCCTTGATCTCTTTCCAAATCTCTTGGAGGGCATTAAATATTAGTCTTTGAATTCTATATCAGGTAGTTCCACTGCCTTTTCTTGTACCAGAACGTCATCTGATTCTTTATTTTGTTCCCTTGTTGGAGCCATCTTGTCTTCCTTTTTTATATGTTTTGATATTGTCTGCTGTCTCCAAGACATTAAGGTATTATTTTCTTTATTGATTGATTGTATGTTCATTTGTCTTGTCCTGCTTCTTTGTTTAGTTTTGATATGTCAGGGTGGGTGGGCCAGACATTGTTTGCTGCTTGCTTGTCTGTGGACATGATAGCTCTCACCACCTTATCCAGTTAGGCAGGGCAGCAGCAGGCAGGGCAATCCTGCTTCACTGTACACTGGTTTGGTGAGGTGCCTGAGGGTGGACTGGACAGGTGCTGTCTTCTTCCTGATGTTGGTCCAGCAGGTGAGGGAGCATTCAAAGCTCTTCACCAAATAGGCATGTATGTCAGACAGGGAGGGGTACAAGCTCGATTCCCACTGTTCAGTAGCTGGTCGAGTGGTGGGAGGGGAGAGGCAGTGAGGGCTTGGTGCAGTGGCAGGCCTAAGCACCAAGGACACTCTAGCTGGGGTGGCACAGCTAGGTCTGGGGGAGAGAAAAGAAAAGAGAGAGAAAGAAAAAAAAGTATAGCCAGAGGGGTGGTGGGGCAGATATGGGGGCTGGCAGAAATGGGGTAGGTGGTGTACAGGGCTAGGGGGGATACAGAAAGGAAACAAAGAAAGAAAAATGAAAAAATAAAATAAATAGTGGCACCATTGAGGCCAGCAAGTGGGGACTCTATAAGCAGTGGCACACCAGGGGCCAGCAGGAAGTGGGGAGAGGTACCGTACAGTGCTAGGTAGGAGGGAGAAAGAAAAGCAAGAAGGAAAAAAAAAGAAAAGAGGAAAAAACAGTGACACAGTGAAATCTGGAAAGTGGGAGTGCTGCAGACCCAGGGCTGGTGGGAAGGGAGGGGAGGTGACGTACTGGGCTAGGTGGGAGTGAGGAAAAAAAGATAAAAAAGGAAAATAAAATGGCGGCATGTTGAGGGCCATGGGTAGGGATGGGGTGGACCTAGGGCAGTGGCAGGCTGGAGTGCCAGTAGCTCTCTAGCCACAGCAGTGCAGTAGGGTATGACAGGACAGGGGGAGGTTGCGTACAGGGCTAGGAGGGAGGGAGAAAGAAAAAGAAGAAAGAGAAGAGAAAAAATGGTGGTGCAGAAGGTGCCGGCAGGTGTAGACGGTGCAGACCCGGGGCGGCAGCTGGTTGGTGTGCCAGTGGTTCTGTAGCTGCGGCAGTGCAGCAGTGGCCAGCAGGAAGGGGTGGAGGTGGCATACAGGGCTAGGTGGGAGGGAGAAAGAAAAAGAAGAAAGAGAAAAAAATGGCACAGCAGGAACCAGTGGGTGGGGGCAGAGTGGACCTGGGATAGCAGTGACCAGTGGCTCTCTAGCCATGGTGGGATGGCGGGGTCAGGCAGCCGGGGGTGAGGTGGTGTATGGGGCTAGGTGGGAGGGAGAAACAAAAGAAAGAGAAAAGAAAAAAATTAAATAAAAAAACTGGTGGCATGGTGGGGGCCGGTAAGTGGGGGCAGGGAAGATCCAGGGCCATTTGGAAGGGAGAGGAGGTGATGTGCAGGGCTCGATGGGAGCAAGACAGAAAAGAAAGAAGAGAAAGGAAATGAATATGGCAGCACAGTGGAAACCGACTAGTGTGGGCAGGGCCGACCTGGGTCAGCAGCAGGCCAGTGGTTCTCTATCCTTAGTGGTACAGTGCAGCCCAGCAGGAAGTAGGGGGAAGGTGGCATATGAGGCTAGGAGGGAGGGAGAAAGAAAAGGAAGAAGGAAAAAAAAGAAAATAAAAAATGACATGGTGGGAGCCAGTAGGTGGGGGCAGGGTGGACCTAGGGTGGCTGTGGGCCAGTGGCTCTCTATCTGTGGTGGTGTGGTGTGGCCCAATGGGAAGGGAAGGAGATAGCATATAAGACTAAATGGGAGTGAAAAAGGAAAGGAGGAAAGAGAAAAAGAGATGAAAAAAATGGCATAGTGGGAGCCGGTGGGTGGAGGAGGGGTAGACCTGGGGTGGTGGTGGGTTGGTGGCTCTCTAGCCACAGTGGTGTGGCCCAGAAGGAAGGGGTAAAGGCAGGGTATTGAGCTGGTGGGAGGGAGGAAGAAAGAAAAAATAAGGGCAGAGCGGGAATCAGTGGGTGGGGGCGGGGCAGACCTGGGCTGGTGGCAGACCACTGGCACACTAGCCAAGGCAGCGTGGCATGGCCCGGCAGGAAAGGGTGAAGGTGGCATATGGGGCAGAAGGATGAAGGGTGGGAAAGCACGTTTCTCTGGTCACCAGGTCCTCTGTCTCCTGTTGGGAACTCCGTGAAGTTGCCTTCCCATACTCCCCTTCTAGGGTGATTGATGGCTGTGCTCCAAGATGGCGACCCTGTGCCATGTTAGTTGGAAGGGGACCTCCATTCTGTATCTCTCCTCTTTCTCTGTTTTCCTTCAGTTTCTTTTTCCATTCAGTGTTTGATCTAATTCTTTATCCCTTCATTTGATGCTTAGGGTTCCAGGATTGATGTTTGTATCTGTTTTAGTTAGTTTTTTAGGGTCTTTGCTGCAGAGGGAAATCCTGGTGGCATAGAGGTTAAGAGCTAGGGCTGCTAAACCAAAGGTCAGCAGTTCGAACCCACCGGGCGCTTCTTGGAAACTAAGGGGCAGTTCTACTCTGTTTTATAGGGTTGCTATGAGTCGGAATCGACTCAACGGCAACGAGTTTGCTGCAGAGGGATGGCATGGTGCTTCTGTCTATAGCGCCACGTTGGCTCTGCCTCTTATATTAACTTCTAATCTTTGTCCTAGGGAAACAGTTATGTACTATATGTTTGGGTTTTTTGCTTTTTTTCTTTTTTCTGGTTGTTTGTATTTTGTTTAATGGCAGATGTTGAGGGCTAGTCTTATCTACTGTACAAAAATTTTAATAAGTTTGAAATCCTAGGCCTTGAAAATCAGGATATTTGCTTTACCTCTCTACCAGATTGTTTGGTAGATCAAAGAGAATGGCTTCCACTTTCCTGAAAGGTTAGAACTTATATCATCAGGAAACCACGCATTGGCCAAAATATCCCACAAAGAAACCAGTCCTGACACACATCATCTACTCTACTGGTTACCACTGAAATTGCCTGGGACTTAACTCTTTTACCTGTAGATAACATGGCTGCCTTCAGGAGAACACGAGACCTGTGAGGTTTACTGGATAAAGCCTCCTGGCCCACAATTTGTTTACTGGATGCAGAGTCCCTTAGGCTGTGAGCCTGAATACTAGACTTAGAGACAGCATCAGCAAGACTATTGTCTTCCTTTTCCTCCTCTTTATCCTTGTTCTTCTTTTGTTTCACTCGATCCTGAGAGTACTGCCACTTTATATTCTCAAACTGGAACATGATAATATTGCTCTCCGTGTTGATCACCATCCTGCAACCAAAATAACAAGATTTCTCACAAAAGGAATGTGGAGGCCACCACTGCCCAGCCTCCAAAATATGCATTTCAATTACTGTTCCATCTTATCCTTAGGCCAAGGGAACAGTGTCCAGTAGTGACCACATAAACAGGGCAGGATAGGGTATTGGAGGGTCTGAAGTGGTGAAAGGCCGCAGTCTCACAGCAGGGGCGGTTAGCACTGTAGCTATTTTCTTTAAACTCTGCTCCACAGGGTTTTCAGTGGCTTATATCTCAGAAGAAGATAGCCAAGCCTTTCTTCCAAGGTGCCTCTGGGTGGATTTGAACTTCCAAACTTCTGACTGCCATTTTGCACCACCCAGAGACTCCACCCTGCACATAAAACCCATTGCTGTCGAGCCAACTCCGACTCATAGCAACCATATAGGACAGAGTAGAACTGCCCCATAGGCTTTCCAAGGAGTAGCTGGTGGATTCGAACTGCCAACCTTTTAGTTAGCAGCCACAGCTCTTACATCTTGAAATGTACTGTTTTCAAGTACAGCATTGAAACCCAATGTTTCTATCACTGTGACAGGGATGACGTGGAGGCCTCCCCCTTCACTGACCCCCAGCCCACCCTCCTCCAGTGTCTCTGTCCATACTTCAGGTTTCGACAGAACATTTGTACTTTATATAAAACAGGATGATTTCTATCTTCTCTCATCCCCACTTTTATGCCTTTGTAGAGAAAGCACTTCCGAAGTTGGCAGCCCAGCACTACCTCCTACCCCCATTCACAAAGAGAGCGGCTTTCTCCTCTGTGTCAAGGTCTACTATAACTATAAACAAGACCTTGGAACCATATGTGTAGGTTCCTTTCTGCTCCAAAACGCTATAATTTTAAGACTTTAACTGATGGCATAACGTTTGTATGAAAGTGAGTGTTTTGGTTGGAAAAGTTGGGATGGAATTCGGGGAATCATTCCAATAAGAAATCTCTCTTGGGCTTATTTTTACTCAAGTCAAAAGGAAATCATCTCTCTTATCTTTTGGATGTTGTGAATCATAAAAATGTCACAGCTAATTTATTGAGCCTTATTACTCTCTTCCCTTTTAACATAGTAAATAGTATTAATAAAGTTTCATTTAATGGGAGGCAATACAGCTCAGGGAGATTACGTGATGTTTCGATTGAGTCTGTGGTAGAATTTATAAGTTAATTCTATTTAGTTATTTTTCACGTTATTGTTGTTAAGTGCCGTCGAGTCAGTTCTGACTCAGTGACCCAAGCAGTACTACAGAACGAAACACTGCTCAGTCCTGTGCCATCCTCACAATCGTTGTTATGCTTGAGCCCATTGTATTTTCACATATATCACCTTAAAACTAGCATATAACAAGCACAGTGCAATATACAATGAGTTCAGTCATTGTACTCGTTTCTGAACTCACTTGCTCAGTTCTCTCCCACTGGAACCCTTGCTACTGCTAATCCTCCACCCTCCTTTAAGTCTCTGCATCAGAAGTGGGACACTGGAGACAGCTGGTGGAGGTCTCAGGCCACTGAACGCATGCTCAAAAGCAAGCAGGTACTGCACGTTTGCAGAACAATGGTCCTTGCAGCAAACCATCAAAATCAGTTGTCATCAAGTTAACTCTGATTCATGGCATCTCCATATGTGTCAGAATAGAACTGTGCTTCATAGGGTTTTCAATCACTGATTTTTCAGAAGTAGATCATTAGGCCTTTCTTCCAAGGCACCTCTGGGTGGACTCGAACTGCCAACCGAGTATGTTTAACCATTTGCACCATGCAGGGATGTAGCAAAACACGATGCCCCACTTTATTGCCCCCCAAAAAATGCCTGATTTGGCCAAATATCCAGAACAAATTAAGAGTCAAAATGAACTCTGACTGCTAAGTTTTGTGCAAAGCCAAATCTGTTGTTGTTGTTGTTGTTAGGTGCCATTGAGTCAGTTCCTACTCACAGACACTGCTTGGTCCTGTGGCATCCTCACCATCGTTGTTATGATTGAGCCCATTGCTGCAGCCATTCTCATTGAGGATCTTCCTCTTTTTTGCTGACCCTCTACTTTACCAAGCATGATGTCTTTCTCCAGGGATTGATCCCTCCTGATAACATGTCCAAAGTATGTGAGACATAGTCTCTAAGGAACATTCTGGCTGTACTTCTTCCAAGATAGATTTGTTGGTTCTTTTGGCAGTCCATGGTATATTCAATATTCTTCACCAACACCACAATTCAAAGGCATCAATTCTCTTTTGGTCTTTCTTATTCATTGTCCAGCTTTCACATGCATATGAGGTGATTGAAAAACCATGGCTTCGGTCAGGTGCACGGTAGTCTTCAAGGTAACACTTTTGTTTTTTAACACTTTAAAGAGGTCTCTTGTAGCACAATTGCCCAGTGCAATGCGTCATTTGATTTCTTGATTGCTACTTTCATGGGTGTTGATTGTGGATCCAAGTAAAATGAAATCCTTGACAACTTCAATCTTTTCTCCATTTATTATGAGGTTGCTTATATGTGGAGTTGTGAGGATTTTTGTTTTCTTTATATTGTAGTGTAATTCACAATGAAGGCTGTAGTCTTTGATCTTCATCAGTAAGTGCTTCAAGTCCTCTTCACTTTGAGCAAGCAAGGTTGTGTCATCTGCATATAGCAGGTTGTTAATGAGTCTTCCTCCAATCCTGATGCCACGTTCTTCTTCATATAGTCCAGCTTCTTAGATTATTTGCTTAGCATACAGACTGAATAAGTATGGTGAAAGGATACAACCCTGACACACACCTTTCCTGACTTTAAACACACAGTATCCCCTTGTTCTGTTCGAATGACTGCCTCTTGGTCTAGGTACAGGTTCCTCATGAGCACAATTAAGTGTTCTGGAATTCCCATTCTTCACAATGTTATCCATAATTTGTTATGATCCAGAGTTGAATGCCTTTTCATAGTCAATAAAACACAGGTAAACATCTTTCTGGTATTCTCTGCTTTCAGCCAGGATCCATCTGACATCAGCAATGACATCCCTCACTCCACGTCCTCCTCTGAATCCAGCTTGAACCTCTGGCAGTTCCCTGTCAATATACTGCTGTAGCCGCTTTTGAATGATCCTCAGCAAAACTTTACTTGTGCGTGATATTAACGATATCATTAATGATATTAATGATAATTTCCACATTTGGTTGAATCACCTTTGTTTGGAATAGGCATAAATATGGATCTCTTCTAGTCGGTTGACCTGGTAGCTGTCTTCCAAATTTCTTGGCATAGACAAGTGAGCCAAATTAGTCCCCCATAAAAGTATTCCTCCACTACAGCCCAAATCAGAGGGTGGTCTGCCAACTCTTTCCTACTCTCAGCAAATCCACAGCTAGTGTCCCAGAGGAGAAAAAAAATCATCCAAAACAGAATTGCTCACAGTTCTGACCTCCATACCTACCACCCACCTGTTTCCCTGAATAAAGAAGGACAGCACAGGGTCACCTCTGCCATTGGCTTTCATCACCTTTAGGCAGTTCCCGTTTAAGAAATTGTAAATGCGGATCTTGCCATCTGCACAGGCACTAATGACACGGAGGAAAATAAGGGACACATGGAGCACCTCCCTGGAAGAGAAGAGAGCAACAGTTAGTACCTGTCTTCTGGTAAACTACTTGGGTTTGTTTGTAGTTTGGAGTATTTTGTGTATGGCTGGGAGGCAGTGGTGGCAACTGAAGTGATATTTACCATCATGTGGTAGTTCCAGATATAAATTATCAGCCTTTAAGATGTAGCTATACTACCTCTTCCCATTCTATCGTTATTCTTCTTGATCATGGTGCCACAAGGTAGCAAAGCAAAAAGACTTATGTCAGATTGTGTTTTGTCTGAAATACACATCATAATGTTTTTTCTTTTGCAATTTGATTCCTTCTACAAAAGTCATGATGAGAATTATTTATTTTTCTTTTTAAAATAGTAATATTATGTAAAACAGAAATAAACCAGAGGAGGAATTGTTACCATTATATCAAGCAAAAACCTAGTATTCGAACATCTTCTTTTTTGATCTTAAATTAGTGGTTTCCCATTCTTTCCACAGAAACATCCTTAAGGAAAAGTGGACCCAGGATAATTGAAACATATGACTGTTCCTTTGTAATGACCAGCAGGAAAAGGGAGAGGATAGGAGAAGATCTAGGTAGATACTTCCAAAAAATCCTCCCTAAAACAACCGGGTCCAAGTTGGACTCTGGATATGTGGAGTATGGAAGTCTAAAAAGTATAATTACCCTATTCCTGGTAATGGCACTGCAAAGTTGAATCTGATACCAGCAATGTGTTACAGCCTGTATACAAAGCGAGTCCATTGATCTTTCCCCATCTCTACCCATTCAAGTCCATCCATGGCCTAGTTTACATGCTGTTTTGTCCATAAAACCATCTCCCCACACTCCATCCCAACACAATATACACAAACTTTAGGTATGCTGTCAGAGTCTCTTGGGTACAGCCCATGTCTTATTCATCATTGCATGCCCAGTATCTTGCACAGTGCCTAGCCAATAGCCATCCTTTTGTAAATATTGGTTGAAAAAGTGACTGTCTGCTCATGTTGTCAGAGCCTGGTCATTGCTATAGTGTGTTAAAAGAATGTCATCCATCCTATACAATTTTACCTTAGCCTTGGTCATATCCCAGGCCCAGACAAGACTTTCCAAGGCTCCAACCACCAACAAAACAAATAACAATGGCCTTGGAAAGCAGGAGTCTGCCTGCTCAGCATGTTCAAAAAACAGCAAGGAAGCCATTATGGCTTGAGATCCTTCTCACATGATTCATAAATAAATAAATAAATCATACTAGCCTAAAACCTAAGTATAAGAAAGTCCAACAAAGTTCAATTTTCTTTGCAAGATGGAAATAGCTTCATGGTACCCCAAGCATATCTTAGTCTGCCTATCGGGTAATCCAGCACTGGGACAGATGTCCTGTGGTAGTAGGGTTTGCCTCTTTGTATACCTCTTTTGATCTTACTGAGTTGGGCTTATACGTCTCATAGATTCCCGTGACATTTGGTAGTTCAGTCTATATTATTATAGCCTAGTGATTAAAAACACAAGCTTTGGCATCAGAAAACCTGGGATCAAAACTTGACTCTACCAATTACTGGCCTTATAACCTTGACAAAGAAACTTAACTTCTCAATCCTCAGTTTCCTCCTCTGTAAAAAGCCAAAGCCAAACCAAACCCATTGCTGTCGCGTCAATTCCAACTCATAGCGACCCTATAAGGCAGAGTAGAACTGCCCCATAGGGTTTCCAAGGAGCAGCTGGTGGATTCAAACTGCCGACATTTTGGTTAACAGCCAAGATTTTAACTCACTGCACCACCAGGCTCCATCCTCTGTAAAAAGGGGGTAGTAATTCTGCCCCACAGGGTTGCTGTAAGTATTGAATTAATTAATGCATGTAAAAAAAAATTAAGAGGAGGTGCCAAGATGGCGGAATAGTCAGACACTTCCTGTGGTCCCTCTTAAAAGAAAGACCTGAAAAAACAAGTGATTTGATTATATATGACAATCTAGGAACTCTGATCATCGAGGACAAAGTTGAGGAGTCGAACTGAGCAGCAGGGGGAGAGAGACAGTTCAGAAGCAGTGAAGAAGTGCCATTCATGAGATAGCTGGCACCCCGCAGGCTGGGTCAGGTGGCACATGTGGGCTGAGGCAAGCAGTAGCACTCAGGATGCATTTCACCATGCCGGGAGGGACTGGGCAACAGAGAGTCTGCACAAGCCTCCAGAGCTGAGGAGAAGTGGCGTTTGGATCTGTGAAAGTTAAGAGCAAGAATCTAACCTACCGTGCAGGGTCAAAATAACCCCTCCCCCTCTGGGACTTTCACAGAGAAGAAGTGCCACTTTCCCCTCACCCCCCCCCCTCCCCACTCTGTCCTGACACCAGTCCCACAGTATTCAACAACCACCATGCCCCCTAAGCTGGGAACTCAGGACTATCACCACCAAAACCAGTCTCACGGCTTCAAAAAATCACCACACCCCCTAACTGAGAACTCAGGGCAGGCACTGGCATAAGGGGCCCACTGACATCTAACACCCTTCACCTCTGCCTAGACCTGTGTGGGCCGATTCAACAACATAGACCCTCATTAGCATAGAACCACAGGGCATATACCTGAAGCCTATTTTCAACTGCAGCAGCCAAGAGGGAGTTGCAGATTTGTGACATTTGACACTTCCCTATCAAATAGGGTCTTCACTTACCCACATCAGGGGCCCAAGGGCTGGCAGTTTCACCCATTACATCTAACCACCCACGACAGGCGTCCAAGAATAAGTGATGCCTCCCAGTCCTTACAGCCAACAGCATTAGGTGCCCAAAGTCTGGCTACAAAACCAATCTACCCACATGCTCTAGGGGAGAGACACACGCCTTCCACCAAGGCACTCAGGAGCAGCCATCAGCTCCCTGCCTTACTCAGCATATAGCCCCCTACTGTAGTCAGATACTTGTGCCTGCTCCAAACACCCTTACACAGTCCTGCCCATCTAGGACTGTAGGGGAGCACCTGCAACACACAATCAGTGACCAAAAACCTGGTCACCTGAGCTGAATCCTCACAAGAAAAGTGAAAAGACTCTGGGACTCACACACCTAGTAGCTGCTCTAACCACCTGGTGACAAAACATGAGAGCTTCAAAGATGCCAATAACCAGAGTAGCTCACATGCCCAGCCTACTTGGGCACATCAAAACAAGAAGCTAGGACACAATAAGAAAACATATAATAAATAATAACTTACTGATGGCTCAGAGAAAACAGTCAATATCAACTCACGTAAAGAAGCAGGTCAAGATGGCTCCAGCAAGAGACCAAAACAAAGAACCAGGAAACCTTCCAGGGGAAGAAAAGGTCTTGGAATTACTGGAGTTAGAATTCCAAAGGTTCATATCCAGAGCTCTTCAAGATATCAGGAAGTAGATCAAACAAAACTCAGAGCAAGCCAAGGAACACACAAACGAAGCAACAGAGGAATTCAGGAAAATAATACAACAGCAGAAGAGCAAATTTAACAGGCTTCTAGGAACTATGGAGAGACAGCAAATAGAAATCCAAAAGATTAACAATAAAATTTCAGAATTACACAACCCAATAGAGGGTCATAGGAGAGAATTGAGGCAATGGACGTCAGAATTAGTGAGATTGAAGATAAATCTCATGATGCCAATTTATATGAGGAAAAAACAGAGTAAAGAATTTTAAAAAATAAAGAAACTCTAAGAATTATGTGGGACACTATCTAGAGGAAAAACTTACGAATGATTGGAGTACCAGAACAGGGGGACAACAGAAAATACAGAGAGAACTGTTGAAGATTTGCTGGCAGAAAACTTCCCTGACATCATGAAAGATGAGAACATATCTATGCAAGAAGCTCATCGAACCCCACACAGTATAGATTCCAAAAGAAAGTCACCAGGACATATTATAATCAAGCTTGCCAAACCCAAAAATAAAGATAGACTCTTAAGAGCGGCTAGAATAAATGAAAAGTCACCTACAAAGGCGTCAATAAGACTAAGCTCTGACTACTCAGCAGAAACCATGCAGCAAGAAGGCAATGGGATGACATATATAAAGCCTTGAAGAAAAAAAAATTGCCAGCCAAGAATTATATATCCAGCAAAACTGTATCTCAAATGTGATGGCAAAATTAGGACATTTCTAGATAAATGGAAGTTAAGGGAATTTGTAAAAACCAAACCAAAATTACAAGAAATATTAAAGGGAGTCCTCCAACTAGAGAAACAACAATATCAGACAACAACCCAACACTACAACACAGGACAGAACAATCAGATATCAACTCAGATAGGGAAGTCACAAAAATAAGTCAAAGCTAAAACAATGAAAATAAGGAAACAGAGAAGTCAACATGTAAATGATGACATTAAAACAAAAAAGAGGGAATAAGTAGTGTAGTCATAGAACTTCTATATGGAGAAGAAGTTAAGGTGATATCAATAAATAAAAGATTGTTTTAAACTTAGAAAAATAGAGATAAATTTTTAGGTAATCACAAAGGAAACTAACAAATCTACCCATTAAAATAAAAAAGGAGAAAAACATAAAGACTCAACAAACACAAAATCAACAATAATGAAAAAGATGAAAAGAAAATACATAAAGAAAAATGACTCAGCACAGAAAATTAAGTGGAACAAAGAAACTGCCAACAGCCCCCCCTCAAAAAAATCAAAATGACAGCAGTAAACTCATACCTACCAATAATTGCACTGAATATAAATGGACTAAATGCACCAATAAAGAGACAGAGAGTGGCAGAATGGATAAAAAAACACACAATCCATCTATATGCTGCTTACAAGAGACACAACTTAGACTCAAAGACACAAAGAAACAAAAACTCAAAGGATGGAAAAAATATATCAAGCAAACAACAACCAAAAAACAGCACAAGTGGCAATATTAATCTCTAACAGACTTTAAAGCAAAATCCACCACAAAGGATAAGGAAGGACACTATATAATGATTAAAGGGTCAGTACACCAGGAGGACATAACTATAATAAATATATATGCACC